TATTTGGATGCCCTTTATTTCTTTCTGTTGGCACGTTGCTCTAGCTAGGACTTCCAGTACTATGTTGACTAGGAGTGGTGAGAGTAGGCATCCTTGTCTTGTGCCAGCTCTCAACGGGAATGCTTCCAGTGTTTGCCCCTTCATTATGACATTGCCTGTGGATTTGTCATTGATGGCTCCTATTTTGAGGTATGCCCCTTCGATACCTAGATTCTTTAGGGTTTTTGTCACAAAGGGATGTTGGATTTTAATGAAAGATTTTTCTGTGTCTATTGAGATGATCATATTTTTTTGTTTTTAATCATGTTTATGTGGGCAATCATATTTATTGACTTGCATGTGTCGAGCCAACTTTGCTCCCAGGAATGAAGCCTACCTGATCATGGTGAATTAACTTTTTGATTTGCTGTTGGATTCAGTTTGCTACTATTTTCTTGAGGATTTTTACATGTGTGTTCATCAGGGATATTGGCCTGTAGTTTTCCTTTTTCATTGCCAATACCATTTATTGAAGAGATAGTCCTTTCTCCATTGGGTTTTCTTGGTACTTTTGTTTAAAAAAATAAATGTGAGGGTTTATTTCTGGGCTTTGTGTCCCATTCCACTGGACAATGTATCTGTATTTATGTCAATACCATGCTAAGTTTTTTGTTTGTTTATGGTTTGTTTCTGGGATAAAAATACAAGAACCATGACATTTTGATTACTATAGTTTTGTGATGTATTTTTAAATCTGGTAATGTGATGCCTCTAAAAAATGTGGTCATATTCTTCTTGCTCAAGATGGCTTTGGCTATTGGGGTCTTTCTACACTCTGTGTGCTTTTTTGTTGTTTGCTTATAACATTCTGCTGCTGACCGGGGATACTGTTTTAATTGGTGTATTAGCTTCTTTTCTTTTAGGTTTTGAAAAATGTTGTGCCTCTTCCTTCTGGTTTCCATGATGTCTGATGAGAAATCCATTGTCATTCAAATCTTTGTGTCTCTCTAGATAAGGTGTCATTTTGTTCTGGCTGACTACAACTACAAGTTATTTTCTTTGTTTCTAGTTCTCAGAAATTTGATTAGGATATGTCTGGTGTGAAATTATTTCTTTGAGTTTAACGTGTTTGGCTTTGATTAAGTTTTTGAATTTATAGGTTTACAAATCTGGGGACATTTTCAGTGATTATCTCTGCAATGCTTGGTGGGCAGAGGAAGGGATACCATTTCCTTTTTTTTTTTTTTGAGATGAAGTCTCAGGCTGTTGCCCAGGCTGGAGTGCCAGTGGCACAACTGTGGCTCATTGCAACCTCCACCTCCTGGGTTCAAGTGATTCTCCTGCCTTAGCCTTCCAAGTAGATGGGACTATAGGCATGCACTATCACACTCAGTTAATTATTTTTAGTAGAGTTGGGGTTTTGCCATGTTGGCCAGCTGGTCTGGAACTCCTGACCTCAGGCCTTTCAATGTGCAGGCTCACAGACATGAGCCACCACACCTGGCCTGGGGTACCATTTCCACTCACCTAAGTGTAACTTGGGGAGATGGTCAACAGGACTTTATATCAGTGTCTTCAGGGCCTGGTGAGGAGGGGAAGACGTGCCACCTTTACTTGACTTAGTGCAAGGCAGGGATGGTCAAAGGGTACCACGTTACAGTTTTTGGACTCCTGGTAGAGAGAGAGAAAAGTGTCACTTCGCCAGGCTAGGTGGCACATGCCTATAGTCCCAGCTACTTGGGAGGCTAAGGCTCGAGAATTCCTTGACTACACTGTTGGGCTGTAATGCACTATACCAATTGGGCATCCACACAAATTTCGGCATCAATATGGTGAACTCCCGGGAGCGGGGGACCACCAGGTTGCCTAAGGAGCGGTGAACCTGTTCAGGTGAGAAATGGAGCAGGTCAAAACCCCCGTGCTGATCAGTAGTGGGATTGTACCTGTGAAAAGCCACTGCACTCCAGCCTGGGCAATATAGTGAGACCCTGCCTCATAAAAAAAAACAAGTGTCACTTCATCAATATGGAATGAGAATCAAGAGAGCTATGCCCCCACCATTTCCTCATCACACAGTGGGTAGGAAAGCATGGCTTCTTTTATGATATTCAACTGGAGTAGAGCAGGTATACTCAAAAGACAGCAGAATTCTATTTTACAATAAAAATCCTAGGGCCAGGCACAGTGGCTTCCAGCTGTAATCCCAGCACTTTGGAAGCTGAGGCAGGCAGATCGCCTGAGTCCAGGAGTTTGAGACTGGCCTGGGCAACATGCTGAGACCCCATCTCAACAAGAAAATATTTTAAAAAATTAGCTGGCCATGGTGGCGTGTACCTGTAGTCCCAACTTCTTGGGAGGCTGAGTTGAAAGGATCATTTGAACCCAGGAGCGAGGCCGAGTCTAAAAAATACAAAAAATTATCTGTAGTCATCTATAAACCAGATTATCTATCAAATTAGATACTACTGACAATTCTGGCAACAATATTTGAGAGAAGCTTGCGATTGCTATTCCTGCAAATAATAATCAGTGTAACTTTCCCTGATTTGCATAGTTATTCAAAACCAAATCTAAGCAGAAAGGAACAATTAATTTGGAAAGAATATTGCTATCTTAGTCAAGTTCTAACTCAGTATCAACAATGGATACACCTGCTTTCTCTTTTGTTCCACTGATGATCTTCTTTTTCCATTGGCAGGTTTATCTCTTGTGTGATGTGTGACAATGCAAGCATAGTACTTAAGGTGAGAAATATAACTGAATCCAGCATCGTGGTGATGTATTCTCTGAATATGTAATACGGAAGCTAACAAAATTGACTTTGCATCATCTCCTGTAATATAGTAAAGAGAATTCTGTTTGCAAGCCCGGAATGATTATTTTAGTGAAATTTAGATGTTGTGGCCTGAAGTGGTGGCACATGCCTGTAGTCCCTGCTACTTGGGAGGCTGAGGTGGGAGGATCCCTGAGCCCAGGAGTTTGAGGCTGCAGGGAACTGTGACTGGGCCATTGCACTCCAGCCCGGGCAACATAGTGAGACCCTGTCTCAGAACAAAATGATTATTAAAGAAGAATAAAAGTAGTCATACGACATGGCTGAAGAGATCTGGTTAAGCCATTTTCTTGATTTTTTAAGATAACAGACTCTATACGGCAATACATGGGCAGTGGAGACCAAGGTAGAAGATGAGACAGAGGGAGAAATCTGTAGAATCATGTATGAAGAATGGCACTTGCCAAAGGGGACAGGAATAAGTAGGACCCCACAAAGATCTGCAATTCCCAGACGACTTAGGTTAAAGGGGGGTAAAATGGAGTTGCTGTTGGGCTTTCATTTTCCAGAAACATGGGGCCCCAGAGCAAAGCATGCACAGCACCTCTGCGTTGTTCAAAACTACAAACACAAAACAAAACTAAAAAATCCATGGCCAGGTGGCTGGAATAGAATAGAAACTGCCACAATTGGAGAATGGAAAAAAAACTGAACAAATGCTCATGTTAATGTCTTATTTCATAGAATTCCAAAGACTACATGATGGAATACAGGCCTCTACCAAACTGGTGGTGAGATCAGAAATGTACAAGATCCGGGACCCTCAGAAAAGTAATATTCCTTGTAGGTAAACTGAGGGGAAATCTATTCATTAGAGAAGGGTGATGGAGACAGCTGCCTCCCTCAGCTTCAGAGATGGCTGAAAGCAACACACAGAAACAATTATCTTCAGAGAATTCCTAATCACAACAGAACTCACACTGTGGTTTATATCAGTCAGGGTTCCGGGATGATGACGACATAACATACAAATTAAGGTAATTTGAAGAAGGTTTAATAAAGGGACTGTTATAATTTGGGGCACAGTTTGTTTTACTTTTTAAGTAGACGAATTGGCTCTGTTGAGTCTGTGCCTCCAAGATGACAAAAGAAGGAACGAGGGTCGTGCCTACAAGGGCCGCAGCCACATGCAGCCTATTCACTGAATGACCAGTGCCCGATGGGTGCCCAAGGACAAGGCCATTAAGAAATTCGTCATTGGAAACCTAGCGGGGGCCGCAGCAGTCAGGGACATTTCCGAAGTGAGCGTCTTCGATGCCTGTGTGCTTCCCAAGTTGTATGTGAAGCTCCATTACTGTGTGAGTTGAGCAATTCACAGCAAAGTCGTCAGGAATCCATCTCATGAGGGCCACAGCACCGAACACCCCCACCCTGATTTAGACCCGTGGGTGCTGCCCCACGACCCTCACCAAAGCCCATGTAAGCAGCTGAGTCCTTCAAGACGGCAGACAGACCAGTCTCCAATAAAAATAAAATGGAAATTGTACTTAATATTGAATGTTGAGTGTATCTGTGCCAGATAGGGTGGGGATTCTGTACGTTAGACCAAGTGTGAATTGACACACAGTATTTTCATGGGGAAGAAAGCTGATTGATGTAAATGACACCTTAATTCTTTACAGTCATTCTTGGCCTCAAAATTTGCATAGCTGTGTGAAATGAAGGGGGGTTAGGCATCTATTTAAAAAAGTAGAAGAATTGGGAATGAAAAAGTTAGAGAAGGCACAGAAATCATAAACCTGGTGTTACTCCAGCACCTCTGCAGTGGCCATCCCTCTGCTCTTAGGTGGCTGTGGCGCCCACTTCTGACTTGCGCTCAGTACTCCAGGCTTGATTTTCTTCCTTCCTCAGTCACAGGAAGCACTGCTGGTGGGCACCACGCGGTGGGAACTAGCTAAGCATCCCCTACCAGGGAGGTGATAAAGAGGTCACCAGGGCGCAGCAAGGCACTGAAGGATGATGGCTCGTAGCTGGCATAGTTGGAGAAGGGGTGTTGAACTTTACCATCTTGCCTCTTCCGTTTCCCGGTGCGGCCTGTGCTCAGTCACCACTGCTGAGGGGAGGCGAAGTCTAGACTCCAGAGAATTACACAAGACCACTCCCTTTATGAGATCACCTCTACAAGATGGCTTCTGACACCCAGGAGATAAAACTCCAATTGCCCTGGACCAGGTAGCACCATTGGGCCATACTTGGGAGAAAAATGGGATCCTCTGCTCCTGGTTCCAGATGGCCTGTGATTCTAACCCCTCCTCCACTGCTGTGCCTCTTCCTTACCTGAGAAGTTCCTACCCTCACTGGTGTCAACTGTCCCTCAGCTAATGTGTCACCCTAGTCCGACATGACCTTCTGGCTGCTGAAAGGGGTCTCTGTGCTTATGAGCACATTCACTGCATGTGGGTATCTACACTAAGCTTTATAGATAGCCAGGGACATACACCCACCTGCCAGAATATATCACTCTGCTAAACAGACATATCCAAATCCTCTCCTGTTCTCATCTGTTCTCTTGGCTCTCTCCACTAAATACATACACTGGCTGTGAATAGGCTTTGAAATTTGTTTGTACCCCTGCAGTATTCTGGGTCCTAAATATGCTTTATCACTGACCCCAAGCCCAGCCATTACAAAATAGCACACAATGTAGGTTATGATCACGGTTCCTATGATCATCCTTAAAGAGATAGAGGCCAGATCTCACTATGTCACCCAGGCTGGCTTGAAACGCCTGGGCTCAGGCCATCCTGTCTCAGCCTTCCAAAGTGCTGGCCACAATTACAAAACAATCTCCGACCATGGGATCAATTGTTATAAATAAGCCCAAGACGGCCTCCAGGTGTTCACTCCTGGACTGTTGATTTCTTTGATTCAGGCTGAGACCCATTAGCCTAAGATCTTTCTGGGGCCAAACTCAAACTTTTACCTACCTAATTATTTTCTTTTTGAGCCTGAGTCTCCCTCAGTCACTAGGCTGGAGTGCAGTGGCACGATCTGGGCTCACTGCAACCTCTGCCTCCCAAGTTCAAGCGGGTCTCCTGCCTCAGCCTCCTGAGTAGCTGGAACTACAGGCATATGACACCATACCCAGCCAATATTTGTATTTTTGGAGACGGGGTTTCACCTTGTTGGCCACGATGGTCTCGATCTCTTGACTTTGTGATATATGCCCACCTCAGCTTCAAAAAGTGCTGAGATTATAGGTGTGAGCCACCATGGCCGACCCTTCTATTTATTTTTTAAATGGCCCAAGCAAGCAGAGATTTAGTCATTTAGAGCCTGCCTGCCTTGCATGCCATCTCCCATCTGCCCCTCCCCCTCAGACCTCATCTGACAGCTATTATTACCCTTTGGTAAGATAGTGCCTTGTGGTTAGAACAACTCAGGCTGCTACAGCCATTCAGAGCTCCCCCACCCAGAGATTCCCATCTGCTCCCACGCCCCTGCTGCTGAGCAGCATCACCTAGACACAGAGGTCTCCACTCCTGGCTCCTCTCCAAGTGTTCCCTGCTCTCCTCCCCTTCTGTATGGTGGCCCCTGAACCTTCAAGCCTCTAGATGGTCTCATGCTATGGGGAACGTCCCTCTCATACAGCCCTGTCCAAGCCCCACTCGGTACAGTTTGCTCTGTGTAACTGCCTCCCATGGTCACCTCTTTTTCTTTCATCAGCTCCCAGATCCCTCAAAATCCTATAGATCTGTATCACAAATATATAAAAAGCTCTAAAACTTGGGCAGGTGCAGTGGCCCATGCCTGTAATCCCAGCACTTTGGGAGGCTGAGGCAGGTGGATCGCCTGAAGTCAGGAGCTTGAGCCCAGGTGGCTAACATAGCAAAACCCTGTATCTACTAAAAATACAAAATGTTAGCTGGCCATGGTGGTGGGCACCTGCAGTCCCAGCCATTAGGGAGGCTGAGGCAGAAGAAGTGCTTGAACTTGGGAAGTGGAGGTTGCCGTGAGCCAATATGGCACCATTGCACTCCAGCCTGGACAAGAGTGAAACTCCATCTCAAAAACAAAAGGCTGTCTATCCTTTGCTATCAGCTAGGACTGGGAGGGGGAGTCTCTCCCCACTCAGCAAGATCACAAATGCCACAGCATCAAGAATACAGAAAATTTAAAATGGAGAGAGAATACAATTGGCCCTGTGATGAATGGATGCCAGACAAATTCAGAGTCTCAGAAAACGCAGAGCACCCCGCAAGGTGGCCAGTAATAGGACTCACCTCATCCAGCCTTTGTCAGGATGAAATAGATGAGCCCGGGGAAATTGTTTAGAGCGTGTCTTGCCTGCAGGAGGCACCATGGAAGCTTTGCTGTTACTTCTCCCCTTGCTTCACCCCCTTTACTTCCCGTGCTGTGCAGTCCCTCCCTGTCCATCCTACCCCCAGGCTGCCCGTTCTCCTTACCCATCCCTCTCCTCAGGTTCCCCCAGCTGCCTGCTTTAATCTACATTCTCCTAGATGATGCCCCGCCATTCTCACCTGCTGCTTATCTTGTGCTTAGACTCTTACGGAGTTACCATTTCACCTCTCAATTTTTTACATCTCTTAACTCTTGTACCTTTTAGATCTGTCTTTACCTATTGTTACAATGTGTCTTTCCCTCCCCCTTCTCTGGTAGCACCCACCCCACCACCCCCAACACACCTTCCCTTCCTCTGTTTCACATTCATTCATTCACTCATTGGGCAATGTGCTTCAGTGCCTTCCAGTTGCCTCTTTCTCATCTGTCCTCTTTACCATTTTTTTCCTATTCTGTCTTCTCTCACAGTCCATTGAGAGTGAGATTTTCCTATTTGTATGGTTATCTTATGAGATTTGTGTTTAAAGCTTTTTAAATATCCTTTATCCTATTGTTTCTTCTTCTCTTCCCTTGTCATATTTTAGAGTGTTTCATTTCTCAGTCCTCTACATGTTTGCGTTAACTCTGTTCCTCTAGAACAGCATCTGTTCCAAGCTCTCTCTCTTCCTGTGTCCTTCCGCCGCCCTGGCTCTCTGCATTACTTGCTTTTAATGGAGTAGAAATCTTTTCCCCTTGTATTTCTCTTGCTCCTCTCTCTTCACACACCCCTCGTCCCCCTCTAGGTGCTTCTTGCTCTTTGCTTTTCCTTTTTACTTCCTCACCATTTCAATTTCTATTTTCCTCTTACTGCTGTATCATAAATGGGACTCCTGACAATCACTCCCCTGTGTCCGCTGGGAGGCGGCACTTTAAGAAGGGTTGGCCGCGGAGCCTCACAGAGGGACCCCCGTCTTATGCTGCAGCGAAGTACCACACACTGGGTGGCTTACAAACAACACATTTATTTCTCACGATTTTGGAGGGGAGAAGTCCAAGATCCAGCTGGCAGCATGGTCAGGTTCTGGTGCAGGCCTTCTTCCAGGTTGCAGCTGCCACCTTCTCCATGTCCCCACATGACGTAAACAGGTCTAGAGAGCTCTCGGGGTCTCTTTTATAAAGGCACTGGTCCCATCATGAGGACTCCACCTGTGACCCTCTTACCTCTCAAGGCCCCCCACCTCCAATCACACTGAGGGGTAGAATTTCAGCACTGGAATTTTGGAGGACACAAACACTCAGGCCACACCACTGTCTTTAGAAGAATCCCAGAATGACTTGTCAGGTTCCTGGGAGATCCGTAACAGTGGGAAAGCGTCACATCCCAGGGAAGGCCACCGGCTGGGAGAGCCATCCTAGACAAGGCCTGCTCCCTTCAAGTGGACCTCTGTGGAGAAGTTGGCTTGGCCCACTCTTTCTCTTCCACTGCTGAGTTAAATGCGACAAGGTAGAAACCCAGAAGCCATGCTGGCGCTGAGAGATGAGCCCCACTCACCAGATTCAAGGTCCCAAGGTAGGCAGACACCGGGCAAGCAGACTCCCATTCCGGGAGTTTGGAACTTAAATAGAGTCATAGAGACACTCAGACCTGATCCAAGTGAGTGCATTCAGTGACATTTCCTAGAGGGTCCTGACACCTTCATCTGCACCTGGGACTGCCCCAGGTTCTAGGCTGCCAGTCACAGTGCACAGGTGCTGCTGAGCTCCTCTAAACCATGAAGGAACAAGTGAGTTGAGGTAGGGATGCCGCCAGCTGTGTGGACCTGGCCCAGGGGAGAGGCCGGGGTGGAGGTCAGCCCGGGAGTCTGCACACCTGCAGCTTGTTTCTACCGCACGCAGATGGGCACAGGTGAAAACCTTTACAAGTGCCACAGACATTGGCCAAGCCTTTAAATTCAGAGCAACCCAGAGAGGAGAAAGGAGAATGGATGTGGGTTCAGGCGTGGAAAATGGAGATCCGATTGCCCGACTTAGCTTTGAAGCGGATCTTCTCTTTCCTGGACGTATTCAGCTTGCTGCAGGTTTCCCAGGTGAACAAGGTAAAGGCCTTCACCTCCCACTGCCCCTCACGCCCGCTACCTCTCTTCACCAGTTTGACTACACTGCAGAATAGCAGGAGGATACACGGAGGGTGTGGGATTTGCATCCTTCACTCTGAGGGCCTCATGTTCTGTTAAACAAGAAGGACAAGCTGACATCCAGGAGCGGCACTGACTGAACAGTCCTTGAGGCTCCCGTTTCAAGCCCTAGGAAATCAGCACTTCTTCCTCTGAACTCACGGGAATACCATGTGCCTGTATTAGTGATAGGTCTCTTGTTCCCGTTTTGTCATCTTCCCTCACTGGGAGGGCTTTGCGAGCTGGAGTCCCGTCTGAGGCAGGATAATTGCTTGAACCTGTGCGGGTCCAGCTCCCAGAACAAATCATAGGAGAGCATCGCCTCTGCTCTCTGATATAACTGACTGCCTGTTTGTCTCTTCCTTTCTCTCCATAGGATTGGAATAGGGTTGCAGAGAGCAATTACCTGTGGAGGTGAGTCATGGAAGGGAAAGGATAAGGAGAGAAGGGGAGAGGAGAGCCTCTGACTGTGAACCCATGCTGTGTGCTGAGGCCTGTGTGTGGCTGTGTTGTGAGAGGCACACAGGAAAGTGAGTGTGATGTCACCGGGGCTCTGAGGAGGTAAACTGAGCATAGCCTGATGGGATTGTGACTCTGTTTCCAGGGCACACTCTCTGCAGAGATGGGACTGCAACAACGTCACCGATCAACACCTGGGCGCACACACATGGAAGCAATTTTTCCTGCACCAGAGAAGGAAGGAGCTTCGGTTGTCATTGGCACAGCCTGATAACTTTGTCTGCAAAATAACTGAGAACACTGGTATGGGGACAGGTGCCCTAGAGGAACATGAGCACCTGGTTTTCAGAAGTCCACTCTGTTGAATTTTTGCTGTGTGAAGTTGTCTGTTCTCATTCAGTGAAGGGAAAGGGAATTAGAATTGAATCAGACTGGGCTGCCGTGATAGGCACGTGACAGCTTCCTGCTTCCTCTCTTGTCCCCACTGTCTCTGCTGAATGAAGAAACTCGAGAGATTTTTTTCACAACATAAATCAGGTCCTGTTACCCCCTTTTTCCTAAGGCTTTCCATCCCTCCCAGAATAAAAATCAGAAACAAATATTAATGTGAAACTCTTTAAAAAACAGAGGCTTGGCTCAGCACAGTGGCTCATGCCTGTAATCCCAGAACTTTGAGAGGCCAAGGTGGGCAGATTGCTTGAGCCTAGGAGTTCCAGACCAGCCTGGGCAACAAAGTGAGACCCCCATCTCTATACAAAATTTTTAAAAATTTGCCTGGGTGACTGAGCCAGGGCCTGTCTCTAAATAAATACATACAGAGGCTCTACTGCTACAGCCTCAACCTCCTCGGCTCAGGAGGTCCTCCTGCCTCAGCCTCCTGTGTAGCTGGGACTACAGGGGTATACCACCACAACCAGCTTACTTTTATTTATTTATTTATTTTAGTTAGAGTCTTGCTCTATCCTCTAGGCTAGAGTGCAATGGCACCATCTTGGCTCATTCTACCCTCTGTTTCCCGGGTTCAAGCAATTATCTTGCCTCAGCCTCCTGAGTAGCTGGGACTACTGGCGTGCACCACCATGCCCAGCTAATTTTTGTATTTTTGGTAGAGATGGGGTTTCGCCATATTGGCCAGGCTGGTGTTGAACTCCCGACCTCAGTGATCCACCAGTCTTAGCCTCCCAAAATACTGAGATTACAGGCATAAGCCATCATGCCTGCTCATAACTTTTTAATTTGTTGTAGAGATTTAGGACTGACTTTGTTACCCAGACGGGTCTGGAACTCCTGAGCTCAAGCGATTGTCCGGCCTTGGCCTTCCAGGCATGAGCCACTGTGCCTTGCCTAATCCTGATGACACATTTTTAATGATGGAGTCTCATTTTGTCACCAGGCTGGAGTGCAGCAGCATTATCTTGGCTTACTGCAACCTCTGCCTCCTGGGTTCAAGCAACTATTGTGCCTCAGCCTCCCAAGAAGCTGGGATTACAGGCGACTGCCACCATGACAGCTAATTTTTGTATATTTAGTAGAGAAGGGGTTTCACCATGTTGACCAGGTTGGTCTTGAACTCCTGACCTCAAGTGATCCGCCTGCCTCACCTCCCAAAGTGCTGAGATTACAGGTGTGAGCCAGCGCACCTGGACATCATAACTCTTTTAAAACTCAGAAAAGTTCTTTAAGCTCTAAGACATATTTGTTTGAGACAGAGTTTGAGTCTTGCTGCCCACACTGGAGTACACTGGTGCAATCTCAGCTCGCTGCAACCTCCACCTCCTGGGTTCAAGCGATTCTCCTGCCTTAGCTTCTCGAGTAGCTGGGATTACAGGCCTGCACCACCACACCAGGCTAATTTTGCATTTTTAGTACAGATGAGGTTTCTCCATGTTGGTCTGGCTGGTCTCTAACACCAGACATCAGGTGATCCCCCCACCCCCCGCCTCTGCCTCCCAAAGTGCTGGGATTACAGGCGTGAGCCACCACACCTGGCCCGATGGAGACATTTTAATATGCATTTTATCTGTGGAAACTGAGGATAAGAAAGAAAAGCCAGTTGGCCAACATCTCCCAAATGGCCAGTCTGCCATGGGAACCTGTGTTTGGGTAACTCTGGAGCCCAATGTCTATCTTCTCCATATTGCTATGCAAACCCTCCTAAGAGGGTACAGAAATATTTACAATTATCTTCACTGGGTTCGGATCATCCCTTATCTGTTGGCCAAGTCTTCTGTGTTTCCTTCTAGCCTTTGAAGCGGGTTTGGCTTATCTCTCAGGAAATAGCTTTACAATGGATGAACAGGAGAAGTCAATCATTTGCAGTGTCTCTCCAAAGAAAGAGCTTTGTGCCTGGGATGTGCAAGAGGTGAGTCTGGCCAATATGTAGCAAAAGAGCTGCATCCTGATGTCCATCCTGTTCCATATATGACACGGAGGTGCCCAGAGGAAAATACTAGGAACAAAAATCAGGTTTTCTATCTTGTAATTTGCGACCTTTTCATTTGGACCAGGGAAACAGAGGACTCACTTTTTTTTTTTTTTTTTTTTTTTTTTTTAGATAGAGTCTCACTTCGCTGCCCAGGCTGGAGTGCAGTGGCTTGATCTCGGCTCACTGCAACCTCCACCTCCTGGGTTCCAGCAATTCTTGTGCCTCAGCCTCCTGAGTAGCTGTGATTACAGGCATACGCCAGCATGCCTGGCTAATTTTTGTATTTTTAGTAGAGACAGGGTTTCACCATGTTGGCCAGGCTGTTCTCCAACTTCTGTCCTCAAGTGATCCGCCAGCCTCAGCCTCCCAAAGTGCTGGGATTACAGGTGTGAGCCACCACGCTCAGCTGAGAATTCTTTTTAACGTGTTTCTATCAGTAAATTTGTACAGGACTTATTTTCTACCAGTAACACGAGTGCATCTGTGGAATAATTGTAGGTTTGTGCATCTCTATGACCTGTTCTATTGCCTCTTTGTCGATGATTGGCATTTGTTACATTGGCTTTTTCAATGTAACAAATGCCTTTCAGAGAAGGTGGTCTCTGTCTCAGATCACCTTCAAGGTGCACAAAGGATCTATCTCAAAAACGGAGTGTGGCTTTGTCTAGTGGCGTAAAGTGCAGTGAGGTTCTTGGGAGACCCACAAAGTTTTTGTTAAAGAGAATTACACTGGCAGAAACACTGCCAGCTTGGATGGAAAGGGGCCAAAACAACACAAAAGGAAAAGAGGCCTTTTGGATTTCAAAACTGTTATAGGCAGGAGGCAGACTACCAAACAATTGAGCTAAAAACTCAGGCCGCCATGTGTAGAAGGTGAAGGATGACTCAGACAGAATCAAGAGCCCAGAGAGTGGAACCAAGAGTCATGAAAATTCTCTCTTGGGCCTTGAGTGCTAATCCACAAACTGCCAGCGTGTTCTCTGTTGGATCTCAGAACATCTTGTAGCAGGGATTCCTATGTTTCCATTTTCACCTTTCTGAATGACAGTGACTATGGTATCCTGTGCTTACCCTACACTTGAACTTTGGGGATGGTGAGGGACAGATAATGTGTATAACTGGTTTGAAGATTTTCACATCAAGGGAAACTGAATCTAAAGAGCCTCATCTATACCTGGACCTAGAAACATGAGCCAGACTCCCCAGTCAAGCTGCACCTGAATTTCTGATCAGAAGAAACTGAGATAACAAAAGCCTGTTTTAAGCCACTAAGCGTTGGGATGCTTGGTTTCATGACCATAGATGTGACTGCACAGGCCACTTGTTATACTGTGAGGAATCAAAATAGTGATGCCATTTGAATGTGGGGGAGTTGTGAATAGAGCACATGAGGAGGGGACTCTGGGAGGGCTTAGAAGTGGTGTGTTGGTATTCACTTGTGATAGTTTAGCAAACTTCCTGCTCTCTTCCTGTGTGATATACTTCACAATTTGTTTAAAAGGCTGAAGAATCATCTAGAAAGACAACTATTCTATCTTGTGTGTAATGTACATGGTTGATGAAGGAATAACAATTTTCATGTTAATACGTTTTGGATTCCACTGTGTCCTAGGCAGAATTCTAAGTATATTTCATGAGTTGTGAAAGGTAATGACAGCCTCATTGAAAGGCATGATAGAAAGTGACTTGCTGAAGGTGCCTTGTTAGTAGAGGTGGTTTGAACCCAGGAAGCCTGATCATTCTTTGTGCCTGTTACATACCAAGTTCTTGTGTCTGAGCATAGTGTTTAGTTCCTGTTTTCATGATCACTCCTCCCAAATATTGAGGTGTGGAGAATTTTCATAGCCTTTGCCCACAAGGAAGAAAATCTCATTTGGAAGAGGCTTCCCAATAAACATGGGCAGAATGAAGGCACAGTGGGCACACGAGTTCCTGGGACACAGAGTGTGTTACTCTCTTTCTCTAGGGCACCATGATCTGGTCAAGCCCAGTCCAGAAGTTCCAAATCTCAAATCTGGTAACCCTCCCTCAGATGCATCTTGTCATCACTGAGGATAAGAGCAAAACGATCAAAGTGTGGAATTGTCAGGACAGGGATTCTCTGGCCACTCTCCCCATGCCAGAGACCTGTTATTGCATGGAAGCCCATCTCACAAAGGATGGCCCATTCCTGATGGTAAGTGATCCCCGATTTTAGAAGGGACCAAAATATCAAATGCCCACTGTCTTGACGGGTATCCATGTCACATTACTGTCCTATCCCTAGTGCTTTTTTTTTTGGGAGAAGGAGTCTTGCTCTGTCACCCAGGCTGGAGTGCAACCTCTGCCTGCTGGGTTCAAGCAATTCTTCTGCCTCAGCCTCCTGAAGAGCTGGGACTACAGGCACGTGCCTCCATGACTGACTAATTTTCTGTATTTTTAGTAGAGATGGGGTTTTACCATGCTGGCCAGGCTAGTCTCGAACTCCTGACCTTGTGATTCACCTGCCTCAGCCTCGCAAAGCGTTGGGATTACAGGGGTGAGCCGCCACGCCTGTACTTTCTCTTTTTGTAGTTATTCCTTCTACATACCCTTCAAGTCAATCAGAATTTACCAGTGAATGTTGTTATAAAAACTCCATGCTATCTTGGCCCTTGACCTGCCTCAAGTACATTTCCCCAGCCATTCTTCTAAAAACAAAAAGCCAGGAACTTCCTGAATTATTTTATATGTGCTGTTTCTTTCGAGTATGTTTTTTACAGTCCATGAACTTGGTCAGGGACAGTTGAGGGGGAGAGATGGCTTTTGGGTGACACTGATTAAAAAGTATAGTGTTTATGTGCTAATGAATAACTGTTCTTGAGAAGAATGCTTTGGGGCTTGGAAAGTTTTATTCCATGGGATTATCCCAACAATGTCTCACGCTAGACTGGTCAGAGGTTTGGATCTCCATTCTGTGACTGAAGAAACGGTGGCATGTCTTGCAGCTGACAGTGCTGCCTCCTGTGTGCTTCAGGATTTCACATATCTTCCTACTGATGTGGTGGGATGCTTTGGTTTCAGGTTGGCGATGCTGCAGGTGACATTTACACATTTACACTGCCGGAGTTAAGGAATATTTCTAAAGTTACTGCATTTCAATGTGCTATTGTACTTCTACGCTGCTCTCCTGACAAGAAATGGGTGTTTGCATGTGGGACATACAGTCGTACCTTTCCACAGGTAGGTGCTGTTCTGTATATTTCAGATTCAAGTTGGGAATGTCAAATTAGGAAGCGTGCAGAGAAACTGCAGAGCTCGGTGAGGCCCGGGCACACTACTCCTTCCTCTCTAAGACCACATCCCAAGAGGAATCCATTGTGATAGTCAGGAAGCAATGCTCTTTGAAGCAACGGCATCCAGTTGCCATGGCCAATGTTAACGAAAACTTGATCATGCAGCCCAGATTTGCCAAACAGATGCAGGAGGGTGAGACAGGTATCAAGAAATAGCGATTGCTGGGCATGGTGGCGTGCACCTATAGTCCCCCCTACTCGAAAGGCTGAGGTGGGAGGATCGCTTGAGCCCAGGAGTTCTAGTCTGTAGTGTGCTTTGCTGATAGGGTGCCCACACTAAGTCTGGCATCAATATCTTACCTCGTGGGAGCAGGGGACCACCAGGTTGCATAAGGAGAAGTCAGCTGGCCCAGGTCAGAAACAGAACAGTCAAAACTCCCATGCTGATCAGTATTGGGACTGCACATGTGAATAGCCACTGCACATGTGAATAGCCTGGGCAACATGCTGAGACCTTGCCTCTTAAAAAAATTTTTTTTGTAACAAAAAGATCTTTGACCTTGTTCCCTTTGGCCTTCTTTACTTTACTTTTATCTCTGTTGGCTGGAAAGTAGAGGAGTCCAAAAGCAAGTGACTATGCGTCAGCCCCTGAATGTCACTCTGAGGAGGCCTTTGGCCTTTGAGTAGGCCATTTGCAGGGTGGCACCGGTGGATTGGGCACTAAAGAGGGAGGAGTTCAGAAGGCAGGTAGTAAAAGCCACACAGCCCTTGATTTGTTCCCCAAAAGGGAAAATCTGCTTAGCCAGCCTCAGCACGACCAAGGGTTCAACATGGCAAGATGGTTTTGTAACTCCTTGGCATGCTTCAGGGACATTGCTCTGTGATCGGGACGGGAAGGTTAGGAAGACAGTGAGTTCTTTGTATGTTGGAGTGACAAGCAGTGACTACTCATTGCTCCTGAGAGGTTGAACAAAGCTATGGCCGCAGGATGAGGATTTCTGAGAAGGCTCCTCTGGAGTCACTCCTGTACTGAGAGGCTGTAAGTTCCCTGCCCCTGACCTCGCACGCGATGCTGGCTTTAGGTGTTCCTCGCAGAGGACTTACTGAGACCATCAGAAGGCAGCGCTCCTCTGTCTACCTTTCTCCCACATAAATTGTGCACCACCGCCTGCTGGAACCCAAAGAAGAAAAACAGGATTACACTGATGTCCCATAATCGCCGTGGAAGAAAGACAGAAATTATCACCTTTGATCTCACAACTGAGAGGACTGGAGGCCAAACAGTCGTCCAAGGTAGGCTGTGCCACATTAGAAACAATTGTTTCTCTTCCTCATCACACAGGCATTCATGTGAAGCTATAAATCCATGTAAATGGATCAGTCTGTGTAGAGGGAGCAGGGGATTTCTTTAGCTGGGGGTGAACCCACCCCTGTTTGACTCCAATGCCCATGCTGATCTCTACCCTCACCCTGCCCTCTTGGGGGAACATGTAGAGATTTCCATCATGTTTCAGGGCCTGGGTTCCAATGGTCCTTCCCGCTACACATTTTGCCTCAAGGCCCAAGTGAGTGTTTATTGTCCACAAACTTCTGCTCCTGTGTCCTCGCACCTGTTACCACAGTCAGTGACACATATTTGTGAGGCCACTGGACTCACCTTCATTTTCCTCCCTGGCATGAAGTCTGTAGAAGTGGAGATGATGCTTTTTTATTCAGTGTAAGGATATTGTTCTCATTCAGTGATCTGATCTTCACTTTGGTGTGTGTGTGTGTGTGTGTGTACGCACATGTGTGTCTGCGGTTTACATGAAAACAGCATATGAGATCTCAAGTTTCCAGTTGCCACCTCGTCTGGAGCACCCTACCTGGATAGGAGCCAGTGATGGATATTTGATTGTCTTTCCCAGTGGGCCAGACTTGCTCCTATTCAGCATCACTGGCTTCCTGCTGCAACAATTTCAGGACCACCAGACAGCCATCAGCAACTTCTGGGTGGTATGTATGATTCTCCTCCATGCTTTTTGGTCTGACTTTGACTCCCTGGCCACTAACTCTGGCTATCCTTGGAAGGATCCTCTCTATGTGCTCACCACGTCTGCTGACTCTGTGCACCTCTACATGTGGGAAGAGGGAGGCTGCCCTCCATACCTCAGGAGCTGCTGTCACTTGGACAGTACATGGCGTGATCACATATCACATCGGTAAGCTCTGCTTTGTGCCTTAAAGGTCCCCTGAAAACTTTTTTTTTTTTAGGTGGAATATATCCCTGTCACCTGGCTGGAGTGCAGTGGTGCAATCTCGGCTCACTGCAACCTCTGAGTCCCTTGTTCAAGCGATTCTCCTGCCTTAGCCTCCCGAATAGCTGGGATTACAGGCACACATCATCACACCCAGCTAATATTTGTATTTTTAGTAGAGACAGGGTTTCACCATGTTGGCCATGATCTCCTGACACCATGATCTGACCACCTCGGCCTTCCAAAGTGCTGGGATTTCAGGTGTGAGCCACTCCGCCTGGCCAAAGACTTCCAATTTCTACATCAAAATAAATGAAGGGAGAACAGGGATTTTTTTTTTTTTTTTTGTAAGATTCTTTGAGGATAGGCATCAATAAACTCGTGTCTGAAAAGAGAATTGCTCATGTTCTTGAAGTCACGGCACTTGCAATAGATGTTAAAGGTCTTCCCAAGGAGGCTTTCAATTTATATTCCCATAAGCAGCAGATGGATTCTATCTTCAGTACCCTGCCTTGCTGAGTTGTACCTTTTGTGAGTCCTTTAGTCACTTGGTTGCTGCTTCAGTGAGCTGCCTTTCCCTCTATTTTGCTGACTTTTGCCCCTGGTTTGTAAAGTGCTTTTCTTGAGATTTTATGTAGTACATGTAGAAGTCTTGTCTCTTAAGACTTTAAAGACTTTTTTTTTTTAGATGTAGTCTCGCTCTGTTGCCCGGGCTGGAGTGCAGTGCAGCTATCTCGGCTCACTGCAAGCTCCGGCTCCCGCGTTCAAGTGATTCTCCAGCTTCAGCCTCCCAAGTAGCTGGACTCCAGGTGCCCACCACCACAGCTGGCTGATTTTTTGTATTTTTAGTGGAGATGGGTTTTCACTGTGTTAGCCAGGATAGCCTCCATCTCCTGACCTTGTGATCCACCTGCCTTGGCCTCATAGTGCTGGGATTACTGGCGTGAGCCACCACCCCAGGCCTACAGACATTTTCTTCCAGATTATTGCTAGTTATTATGATGTTTATAGTGCTTTTCTGGCAAGATCTAAGAAAAGACATATATCCTTTGCACTGCCAATGCCACTAAAAAGAATCTACTGTGAAGGTCTATCTCCAATGATTCAAGTACATTGGCTGTTCATTACAGCGTTTGTGACAGGCAAGAGCTGAAGCTCCCAACGGCCCAAACATGAGACTGTTTACATTAGCGTCGTATATCCACACAAGGAAGTATCATGCAGCTGGTATTAACTTTTTTCAAAGGAGAATGTCTGTGTTCAGATAAGTTATTTCCAGTGTTTTGAGAGAAAAATACTTTAAGTATCTGTAATCACGCCTAGCTGACTTTCACGGTTTTTGCTGTCTGTATCATGTCTAATAAATCTTAGCCTGCAGCAATCGTAAATACTTATTTCCTTTCAGTAATTTCAGATACTTCCCTGGATTTGTTTTCTCTCTTCCATTTGAATGGGTGTGTGGTGATTCCTCATTGTAATATTTACCGTGCCTTTTCCCAATGACATTGAGCAATGTTTTATTTCCCATCTACATATCTTCTTTGATGCATTTCTTCAAATCTTTGGACCTATTTTTTAATTGGATTGTTGATACTGAATTTCTTAATACTGAGTTTTGATAGTGGCTTATATATTTGGTATACAAGTCTTTTATCAGAAAAGGGTTTGCAAATATTTTCTCGCACTCTGGTTTGTCTTTCTATTCTCTTCACAGTGCCTTTCAAAGAGCAAGTGTTAACTTTGAAATACAATTTTTCTTCTGAAATGACAGGGCTTGGGGGATTGTATCTATGAAATCTTTGCCTAACCCAAGATCACAGAGATGTTCTACGATTTCCTCTAAAAGTTTTATAGTTTCGGTTGTCACATTTATGTCTCTGATGCATTTTGAATTAAATTTTATAAGGTAAAGAGAAAGATCAAGGTGTATTTTTTGCATGTGAATATTCAATGATTTGGCACCATTAGTTGAAAAAACTCTTCTTCCTCCGTTGAATCACCTGTGTACCCTTGTCCAAAATCAACCATATTTACATGGGTTAATTTTCAGACTTTCTCTTCTGTTCCAGTCACACAGATGATTGGACGACACACAAGCTACAGTCACCATGTGTATCTTTTATCAGATAACACACTACATTGATAACGTAACTTTATAGACACTTTCCAATCAGATAATGTGAGTCCTCTAATTTGTTTTTTGCAAAGTTATTCAGGCTATTCTGATTCCCTTGTTTTCCAAGTGAATTTTAGAATTGGTTTGTAAATTGTTATAAACATTCTGCTGAGGTTTATATTGGAATTTGTTTGGATCTAGAGAGTAATTAGAAGGAAATCGGCATCTTTACTATTTTGGCTCTTTAAATACATAAACCTGAATGTCTCTTACTGTTTCTAGGCCATCTTTAATTTACTTTATCAGTGTTTTTGCAGTTTTTTAGGATAAAGGTCTTGCACATATTTGTGAAATTTAGACTTAAATATTTCATGTTGGTGCTATTATAAAAAGTACTGTCTTATTTCAATTTCCATTTTTCATTATAGTATATAGAAATATGACTGACTTTTGTATATTGACCTTGTATCCTGCAACCTTGCTAAACACATTTATTCTAATAGCTTTTATTCATAGATTGGTAGATAGATCCTTTGTGCTTTCTCTCTGTAGACAATCACGTCATCTGTCAATAAACAGTTTTCTTTCTTTACTTTCTTTTTTTTTTTTTGGATATGAGGCCTTGCTCTGTCACCCAGGTTGGAGTACAGTGGCACTATCTCAGCTCACTGCAACGTCTGCCTCCTAGGGTCAAGCAATTCTCTGCCTCAGCTTCCCTAGTAGCACACACCGCCATGCCCCGCTAATTTTTTTGTATTTTTAGTAGAGATGGGATTTCACCATCTTGGCCAGGCTGGTCGTGAACTCCTAACCTCATGATCCACCCACCTTGGCCTCCCAAAGCGCTGGTATTACAGATGTGAGCCACCACATACAGCCTTTTTCTTTTCAAATTTATGCCTTGTTGTTCTTCCCTTATTGCATTGGCTATAACCTCCTGTGGGGCATTGGAATGGAGAGCCAATATCCTTGCATTGGATGAAAAGTGTTTGGTCTTTCACCATTATTATTATATTCACTGTATGTTTTTGTAGATTTTCCTTACTGTATTGAGGATGTTCTCTTCTAGTCCTAGATGTCTGAGAGGTTTTTCAAAAAAAATGAATAGATGTTGAATTTTCTCAAAGGCATTTTCTGCATAAATTGATATGAGCATGTGGTTTTTCTTTTTTAGATTCTTAGTAAGGTGAATTATATTGATTTTCTTTTTTGTTAGTGGTCAGGACAGAGTATCTTATTAATCTTTAACAAATAAGTATATATTCATGGGGTACAATGTGATGTCTTCATAGATGTATATATTGTAGAATGATTAAATCAAACTAATGTATCAATCGCTTCACATCCTTACTTTTGTGGTAAAAATACTTAAAATCTACTCTCAGCGAATTTGTAAATATGAGACGCTGTTAGGAACCACAGTCACCATGCCGTGCTGCAGATCTCTGAAACTGATTCCTCCTGCCTAACGGAAACGCTGGGCCCTTTGACCAACACCTCCTTGTTCCCTGTCCCTCCTGGCCTCTGTTAACCACCATTCTACTCTCTGCTTCTGTGAGTTCGATTTTTTTTTTTTCTTGTTTGAAGATGTCACACATAAGTGAGATGATGCAGTATTTGTCTTTCTGTGCTTGGCTTAGTTCACTGAACATAGTGACCTCCAGCTTCATCCATGCTGTTGCACATGACAACATTCCCTTCTTTTCTAAGGCTAAATGGTATTCGTGTGTGTGTGTGTGTGTGTGTGTGTGTGTGTGTGTGTGTCTGTGTGTGGGGGTTCTCTTTGTGTGGGGGTCTCTGTGTGTGGGCATCTCCATGTGGGTGGGTGTGGGTGTGTCTGTGGGTGTCTGTGTGTGTGACTGTTTCTGTGTGTGGCTATCTCTTTGTGTGTCTCTGTGTGTGGATGTGTGTCTGTGTGTGTGAGATTTTTGTGTAATTTTGGTGTTAGAATAATGCCTCATAAGATGAGAGGGAAGTGAAAGATTGTGTAGGATGGGTGTTATTTCTGCCGTAAATGTTTAGTAAACTTCTTCAGTAGAACAATCTGGGCCTGGAAATGACTTTTTTTGAAATGTTTTTGAGCTATAAATGCCTTAATAGTTATAGTACAACTCAGATTCTCTATTTTATGTGGGTGAGTTTTTATGGTTTGAATTTGCAGCAAACAGTCATCTAACTTGTCAAATGTGTGTCAATTTGTTCTTTCAATCCTCTTAATGCCTGTAAAATTTGTAACATGAACTCCTTAATTCATAATATTGGTAGTTTGTGTCATTTTGTGTTTTTTGTTTTTGTTTTGTCTTTTTTTTTTTGGTAAGCCTTACTAGGAGCTTATTCATTTTAATTGTCTTTTCAGAGAAACAGCTTTTGTTTCCCTTTTATCATTTTTTATAGCCCCTATTTTCCCATTCTCAATTTATCTATGTCAGCTTTTAAATTTTATTTTCTTGCTTCTGGTTATGTTTATTTTGCTATTCTGGTTACTTTTATTTTGCTAATGTTTCTAGTTTTTGTTTGGTTTTCTTGTTTGTTTTTTAAGAGACACAGTCTCAATCTGTCAGGCTGGAGTCAATGGGGTGTTAGCTCACTGCAACCTCTGCCTTCTGGTCTCCAGTGATCCTTCCACCTCAGCCTCCAGAGTAGCTTGGATTACAGGGGCACACCACCATGCCAGGCTATTTCATTTTTTGTAATTTTTTTTGAGAGAGAGATAGGGTTTTGCCAGTTTGCTCAGGCTGGTCTTGAATTCCTGGGCTCAAGCAATCTGCCTATGTCAGCCTTTCAAATTTCCGGGTTTACAGGCATGAGTTACTGTCCCTGACTTTTTCTAGTTTCTTAAGGTAGATGC